TAGGGTGAATGGGGCCCTGGGGCTAGGGTGGGTTGTGGGATGGAGCTGTGGGAAGCTTGTCCAAGAGTGCGGGGAGGCACAGCTCCCCACTGCTGCACACACCCCTGGAGGAGGCATGGGGGGTATGTGCCCCCCAGATTTGTGTGTAGAGTGGAGGTGGGCTGCCTGCTGTGGGCTGGGGCTCTGCACCCTGCTGCCTTTGCTCCAGGAACTGTGTAGTGCTTTGTTGTGCCTCCTGCCACTGGGCGGGTAGGGGATGCCTAATGCACAAATCCAGGTGGCACATGCCACCCATGCCTCCCCCAAAGGTACACGCAGTGGCAGAGAGCTGCACCCTCCCTCCCCCCAGGCTTCCCTGGATGAGCCTCCTGCAGCTCAATCCCATGACCCACCCTGGCCTCAGGACCCCATTCACCCCAGTTGCTGCCCCACTCCCTCCCTCACTGTGGGGAACTCGATCTACCCCCTGTCCCTTTCCTCTCCCCCTGCACCTTCCCCTCCACAGACTTACCTGCTTGGCAGTGCTCTACACACCTCTAGACTGCATTTGTGTAGGGTTAACATAATTCCAGTTTCAAAAAAAAGAGGACACCTGTGTGAGGGGGTGCAATATGTTTTGGGGGGGGGGGCAGTGATACGCCCATGCCCTGCCTCTGCTTCTCACTCAGAAGCCACAGCCTTCCCAGCCCTGCTGCTGCCCCTCACTCCTGACCCATAGTACCCCTCATCCTGCCAGGACATGTGGGGACCCCCACACACACCCACAGCCGCCCACACCTTCACAAATTCCACCCCTCACACACACGACACCCCCAACCATTCAAAGTACCTTGCATAATTTTGTATAATTTTGAGTTTTTCTGCACGCAGTTTTGATTTTTTAGCTCTGCGAATAAAATCCGAATTAATTGCAACTAATTTTTTTAATCGTATAACTAATCACGATCAGATTTTTTAATCATTTGACAGCCCTACTTCAAACTGATGTTCTTCCTGTATTATTCTCTTCTCCTATATAATGCATCTTTTTGTTGTTTTGCCTCCTTACTGACTTCCTGTGGGAAAGAGTGATCTCTGGGCAAGTAATATTCCAAGCTAACCCATTGTATGAAAAGGGGACCAAAAAATTCTCTCACAGTCCATGTGGAGGCCACCTAAAGCTAGCAGAGATTTTTCTACTACAAGTATAAGATCTGGTATAAAATCAGTGGAGCTGAGGCTTGTGGGGATAAGGAGTTATCACAGGGCAAACCTTGGTCAAAACTTGGGACAGGCATCAGAAAAGTGGGGAAAACTTGGGGCTCCATGGTACCACAAGGATGGGTTCGCGACAGCCACTATTCCACAGTTTAATTGACTTTGTTGTAACAGTCTCTTGAGGAACAGATGTTGGCATCCTCACAGGAAATAAGATTAGGTAAAGTGTTAAAAAATAAACTGCAAGCCAAAATTTTGCAGTGGAAAGTGTGATAGACAAGGTGGCCTACCAGATATTTTCCAGTTATAATCTGTAACCCAGTTCTTCTGTTTATTGATGGTGAGTAGCGTCCTTGTAAATACTCACACTGAACGAGTGACGGAAACAGGCCCCTCATGATTATAATTCTTTTTTGTTTATTTTTTATTTTGTACAGTCTCCAGGATCTGACTTCTTGTGTTCTTACAATACATCTTCATTTTCCATGTATCCTGATAAAGATTAAGTGCATGTGATGGTTTAGTGTCCAAATGACACATTGAGGGGCTGTGTCACTGGAGGATTCTGGGTGCACTAATACAGCTGTAGAATTTGGCCTTGTGCTTTGAAAAGATCTATAGAAGTCAGTTTTTATTAGAATGTTTATTATGTATATATCTCAGTCTCTGGGAATATGACCAGACATTTAAATGAACAATACTAAAGACTCAACAATATAGCCACAGAACTAAAATAGTCCCTAATTTATCTAAACACTATTCACTGACCTCCAACATTAAATCCCATATACATTTTAATAAATCTACTGCTTCTCACTCTTCACCCACTATTAATCAATACTACATTGACTAAAATACCATAGTGCACAGATGCATCTCTGTATCTCTCATAATATCCCGTACTCTGCCAAACATGGGCTGTGGTACATAGGAAAAAAATAGATAATTCCAGAATAAGGGCCACCTAACTAAAAATGTTTGTTTTTACAAGTCAGCACAGAGATAGATGGTTTCTAATGTCAGAAGACTTTGATGTTATTGAGGCCATCATTTTGAAACTTGATTGCCTAAAATTGGGCCCCTAAATCCCAGTAGTACATGATAATGCCTAGATAGTGCAGTATATCATGCAAAAGTAACAAGGACATGAACTGTTGTGGTTCAACCCATGTGCCGCAGTAAGAATCATGATGGTAGGACAACTCAGCGTGACAGAAAATACTCCAGGTCCCTGTTGTCACCTGGGAATCCAAAAGAAGTGAGGTACCATTGCAGAAAGGTGTAAGTTACTTGAAAGTCTGAAATAATCACAAGGTCCTTTCCCTTCATCAGGATGCTTTCCTTCTTGCTGTCTTGCTGTCTGTTCTCTCTTCCATCCAGTTGGTTTTAGTATTAGATATTAGTTTTATAAAGGTTCCTATCACAGCTCATCGATGACAAGGGATACCAAGGAATCCAGTTTGATGAAATGGAGGTGTAAATTTACAGCCTAAATTATTTCATTATCACAGTCACTCTTTGTGACCTCAGATATACATTGGTTGAGGATAATCAGTACAATTTAACTTTGTCAGTAACCCAGAGAAGAAAGCTCTTAGGGTGGTCAGCACTGGACAATAGCATTCTGTTTATCATGTGTTCACTAATATGATGCTAAATGCACTCAGGTGGTCTGTAGGGTTAACTACAACCAATGAACATGTTTTCAAACATGGTAGTCTTTGTCTGGAAGGAATGTTTCATATCATGCATACTAATGTGGTACATAACATGTCATTACCTGGTGTGCAACCTGGGGGAGAAAAAGTATGACCAGTCATCTATAATGATCTGCTGGGACTTTCAGGCATAGATGAATAGTAAAAATCACAAAAAAGTCTTGCCACACACCACACTTCAGATCCTATGAGCCTCCTGAAAGATGTAACACATAATCCAATCATATTAGGCTCTTTAAAGGAGAATGGCATTTCCTAGTTTCATAGTTTATTAGTGGCTGGAAGGGGCCTTACAGATCAGTGGGTCCCCAGCAAGATGTGTTCCATTCTCTATCATAATAGTAGATGTTGCCATATTTTTCAGTGTGGTCTAAGCACAGGGATGTGTATCCAGGTCCTTAAGCTCTATATGAGCCTCTCCATGTGGTCCTGGCCAAGTCATTTCAACCTGTGTTTTTGACTTCTGAAAGAGGGACAGTAATATTCAGTAAGGTCCTATTTAGGGTTATTGGTGAAGTGAAATTAGCAACGTGTATACAGTGTTTTGAACATATGAATGCTACTAACATGCTTTAAATTGTTTCTACTGTTATTTTATATTTTGCAGTACTAATTCCTCTTTTTCCCCCCCTTTTGGTCAAAAACAAGGTTTCAGTGACAAAAGTAACCATAACTTATTACCAGCTGTTTTTCAGTACTAGGTATTACCCTTATTCCCACCTCATTTCCTCCAAATAGAAACAAAAGTCTTTTCCCCCTAATTTTGTGTTTTATAATAAACTGTACAATTTTGAGACTGTTTTTTGTGAGATGAATAAAGGGCATACAAACTGCAAATTATTTCTCTTGCTACTCTGCAGCTAAAAACTGCTTGTTTCATATAATACTGGGGAACAGAAGAACATTTGAAATTTTATCTCAGTTTCAGTTCAAATTAAACTACAAAATTTGCAAGTTAAAACATTATTCAATCAGACGGTATTGCACTGTTGGAACAGTATATAGATGGGTTTTGTAATTCAAGTATTAACTGTTTCTGCAGAATCTTGCCATGGAATTCTGCTGAACAACTTGTACAGAAATATGATCAATTAATTTACTTAATAGGGTTGCCTCATGAAACAATAATCAGAATAATGGCTTGGAGCTCCTCTTAAAAAGGCAACTGTTTAAATGGCTATCCTAATTAATCTGTGTGTTTTCATTTGAGTTCAGTCATTGTGTGATTAAAAGGAATATTATTTTCATGAAATCAGTTGACACAAGTATGACCAAACCAGATCCTTCCACTAACAGAGAGACAAGACCAGGTTTTCATTTATACTCATGCCCTGGAAGTGTGAAGGCCCCTTAAAATGTGCTTAATCCATTTTCAAGATCACTTTATGTTGCCAGTGCAGCATAAAGGGGCCTTAGCATAAGCAAGGATTCAAGTCACATTTTTTTTGAAAGAGAAAAACATTAAACAAAAACAGAAGAAAGGATCAGAGAGGCAGTTTATGGAGCTTCACATGATAACTTCAACTCCATTCTCCTGGTGGAGCAACAGACCAAAAAAAGTGAAGCCCAATATGATACAATGTAAACATTATTTATGGTGATTTTAATGTGACATAGAGCAGAAAATGTATTTGTACTAGGATATTTATGCCCTCAATTTAAAAACCTGTGGTTTGACTGTTTTAGATGATAGCAAATTTTCTGAGGCCATCACAGTACTGCTTACCTGGATTGAGCGAGGCGAGGTGAATCGTCGCTCTGCAAACCAATTCTATTCAATGGTGCAGTCAGCAAATAGTCACGTCCGCCGCCTCATGAATGAAAAAGCAGCCCATGAGCAAGAAATGGAACAAGCCAAGGAGAGTTTTAAAAATGCCTTAACAGGGATCCTCACACAATGTAAGTAACCCCTTTTCTGTCCAGTGTTGTAGTGGTGGTGGTAGTGGTGGTAGTGTTTTTTGTTTATTTGGGGGTAAGTAGATACGATAATGTCACATCCTACCTTCATATCCTATTTCATACTCTGTGGCAATTTGGAGGAACAAGGACCATTCCTAAGAGCTTATGTCTCAAGGTGAGCAAAGTTTCAGTAGTTATTTTATTTCTAGACTAAGACATACTGTAGGCTCCATAACTCTTCAGGAAATTAACCAAATGCCTCCATGATCTGGAACAGAGATCACACTTTGTCTGGAGAGCAGTGATTTCTAATTTGTGACTGGTAGATATAAGGAATTCTAACCATCCTTTTGTAATTACAGAATTAGAGAACAATTAAAATACATTTTTGGGCAGTGGTTAAGTAAAAGTAAGTTATAGAAATGAACAAGTTTTAGGGAGTTATTAATAGTGCTCTGAGGCCACCCTCACAGTAAAAGAACATACTGCACTACTGTTGGCAGCATGAGTGCTTGGCTGATATTCTGCCAGTGTTCATTTGGCAGATAAAGCGCCTTAAATATTTAGTGTTGGCAATTTTTTCTTAGCACAGAAGTATAATCAATGAAGTTACCTTAATGGGGTTTCCTCATAAAACAATAATCAGTATAATTGCCTAGGCTCTTCTTTTTTTTTTCTTCTCCAAATAATGTGCTTCATTTATGCAGGCTTTTAATATGTCTAACATCTTTACAAACCTGGTTTGATTCATTAAATCTCTCACCCAAACCGTGGAAAAAGAGGCTAGTTTCTAATTACCACATGCAAACCAAACAGTGAGCCATGTAATAGTCAAAAGGGTAGACCCTTTATAAACAGGCAAGGCAAAAAAATTAAGACATTTTACCAGAATGAGGCCAATCTGCATGTTTCACTTTAGTGTCCTTTTGTGCCTTTGATGTTTACATTAAAATTAATAGCAGACCTCTGTTTAAAATGTGACTTAGTAAACACTGTGGGTTATCTCCAGAAAGCTATGCTAAAAGACAAAGGGAGTTGTTATCTGAGGACACATGTTCAATTGGTAAGTTTTCAAGGTCAATTCATATTCATATTGGGATAGGAAATTCTGCTTTCACCTCTGTGACTGAAAATCAGTATGAGGAGGAATGT